TCCTTGCAATATCTTTTCCTTTTTCAAGACGCTATTGAGTTCAACCATGATAGGTTTTATGTTTTCTTTATTAGTGGTTATTCTATAAACATCTCTAATATCAGAGTCTTGTAGCTCAACCTCTACAGCTTTAGCCAATGATTTAATAATGCCTCCGATTTCTTCTTTAGTCTCAATTTTTTTGTTATCAGATAACACGGCGGGAACGTTACGTATTTCTAGGCTGGTCGATTTATTTTTACGTTCAAGAGTTTCAACCTTTTCTTCCAATTTTAGAATCAGTTTTTTATCTCGTTCCTTTTCTTCTTCCAGATTTGTTAGAGATTTAAGGACCGAATCATATTTGTCTGACATCATTTGTAGGCTGTCTTTTAATTCATCATTTTGTTTCTTCAGATCTTTAAAATTTTGAGTAACAGTAGCCGATAATGTCGTAAATAATCTTGTCATTTCAGCTTTTAATTGACCGTAATCGTCGTCTAGTTCACGTCTGCGTTTCCGACGTACACTAATATTGCAGTTACCACTCTGTTCAGAAGGAGTATCTGAGTCATTCGGTTGGGCAAGATATTTAACGGTTCCGTCGTCAGTGCCTTTGTGTCCGGGTGCTAATGTGCTAGGTTCAGGCGCGACTGGCGTTGAAGGTGGCGAGTGACTAAGGGGCATTGTATTTATTTTATTTACTTCAATCCAGTAGCAACAAAGTGTGCACTTATTGAATTCCTGTATCAATGTTCTGTTACAATTTTATATATGTAAGGTAATAGAATTATTGTAAATAAAAACTGCACACGAATCGCACACTAATAAAGGCCCGTAGTTGAGAGTCAGCAATGTGTAGATGGCAACCTCGCGAGAAGAAAGTCATAAGCGCCGTGCTAAGCGTGGCACTTACGCGTTATCTCGGGCTGCACTGTTGTTTTATTTACGGCGGTACTTGGAGAAAATTTTTAAATTTGTAGTCTAGATTTCTAGGAAATTCCGCACTGATACACTATTGTCTTTGTGTAGGATTGCAATTCTATATTTTAATCACAGAATTCTGTAAACTTAACGACACTCCCGAACAGATTATCGCGTATTTTAAATATTCTTACACGGAGTAACAACAAAAGATGTTTCACCGAACAGTATTACCGACACCAATCTCAAAGATAAGTAAGATATGTGTATGTACATTTGTTTATTTCCTTGTCGTTATTTTATTTCTTGTTAAGTATTTACTTTATATTGTAACTAACAATTAGTATGTGTTTGTTACGCTATGGTGCAATGTATTTTTGTGAATGTATTATCAATTTATTAAAGTATGAGTACGTTTATAACTGCACTTATAAATAAATTGAGCATCAAAGGAATCTTACACTTAAAAAGCTCTGTCACCAAAGACTTGCCTTTTTTTTTACATTGTAAGGGTTATTATTACTTTCATACGAAATTAACAACGACAACAAATTTGAAGTCAAATTCTACTATGTTTGACCTTATAATATATGTTCACTAACAAATACATTTTCTCAAAGAGGTCTTTTATAAAACACCATAGTTTATGATTTAAAATTTCGAGGTTTTTCTTAGTAAAATGTTGTTTATTTTTCGTTGGTGGAATAGAATTATGTTCATGTAAATTTCACAACCACAAACATCTTGCGATAGTAAACTTTTCAGGTATAACGCCACTTTACAAATAGACCTTTTGATGTGCATGTAACACTGATTCGTGTGTGCAACAAATACGCATATAATAAGTGAATCATTTGGATAGCGGACTTGAAATTCATTTGATCATTCGCCTATAGATTTAGCAACGCGTAAATTACCAATATTGGCAACATTCAATAGTCAATATTATGTCAGATAGATTCTCGACATTAGCTGTTTAAGTACCGAGGGCACTTTGCCAAAATGAGATTGGTTCAGGTGAAGCGCGCCGTTCGTTGATAGTCTTGACCAAGTTAATATTATATACAAGGGACTTAGAAATAATATATTTAAATATATAGCAAAAAACATTTCTTCGTCTCTTTGGAGACTTGTATGTAATACTGCTATTATTTATAGATAACTTGAAGAGAGCCACGGCCTCACAGAAGAACATGTAAAACTATTCGTTCGTTGCATCTCATTGAAGGTTAGGGGAATCCTTGGGGCGAGTGCACGGGCACTAAAAGGGGCCATGGGAGGCAGTAGTCATTTACGATAAGGTGATCAGACATTACCATACCATAAAAAAAGATTGTTCTTACTAGAACTGAATTTTGCGCAACATACAATGCTTTATCTCTTCGATCGATCAGTCGCACAGATGTGTATGACAATGGAAGCGGTATGATAATACCAACAAATAATGCACGTACATAAACGAATAGAAAATAAAATTACCATCTCAACCTTTTTGTTATTCGTGTTATTATGGAACGTTCTGGTAAAATCATGTGTTATACCAAGCAATTGAAGTGGATTTAATCTATATCATTCCTAGAATGAATTCACCGATTTCTAAATGAACGACACCTAGTACATAAATAAGCACACAATAATACGGGCTTGGATTACGTAAGGTAATTCATATGTCACTTCCTTAAAGCACTTACGTGATACTGATAATACACACGAGTCTTAAAGCGGGTAGGAATATTGTTTAGGTACGGTCATATGCAACTGAACTAAATAAAGTTGTATATAATAAAAGTTTGTACTTAAACAATGCATCAATAATCGACTGTGGAGAAAATGCAGTTTCTTTTGTAATCAAATTATATATCTGATTGTATGTTTTGAGCTTTAGATAGCTGAATACGAAATTTAACAGTCAGCTTAGATGGAGAGACACTTGTACACACATGTAGTCAGACAGGCATAAAAGCACAAGAAGGAGACAACAGCATAAGATTTCAATACAAGTGATATTGCTGACGATAAAAGCCGTGAGGTGACGGATTAAGAATGCAAAGTGTCACCACCCTCATTCATCCCGTGGGTGTCGTAAGAGCCGACTAAGGGAGTAACTAACTACGCAGGACAACAGCACTGCAAAGAGAAGGAAAACTTGAAACAAACCCTATACCAACCCGTCTGGCTAGCGTGGTATAGTAGGCCAAAATCTCCTTTCTAAGGAGAGGCCTATGTCTAGCAGTGGACTAGTAAAGGCTGTTGATGATGATTGCGGATGACAAGTGATATTGTTTTCAGTCCATTTTATCCAATCTCTGTCTTTTGCATATTTATTAGGAAACTTTTATAGTTTTGTTTATACAAATAATATTGTTTATTATTATATACTCGAAGAAGGTTTCAATTTCCCCCGTAGGTGCTTTCTTTTGTGATTAAACCGTGGCAGAAAGCCGTATCATAGATTACTTTCTTTTTCGTAATAGGCCGCACTGATATTTGAGCACTTTCTCTAGGTTGCTTTGCATTTACTTATTTCATGAACTTATTTTATTCTATATTTGTTTTCTTTCTTTTCTTCATTCTTTATTTTGGGAGAATATTTTAACAAACTTGGTATAAAAATCCAACCAACAAGAAGAGACAGAAATAGAGATAAAAACAGAGAGTGAGATAGAACAGACAGTAAAAATGATTGCAAAACATGTAGGATAAAACTAAATTTCTAACTTCTATGTTATGAAAGACCCTTCCTCAAGAATAAATATTTCCACCAAAAATATTTAAATATTGATGAGGCTTTTGTTACAAATATATCAATTCTTAAGTCAAATTATCAGAATTTCAGATTTAGTTCGTTAGTAAATAGTCCAAATTCCAATAATTATTATTTCAAGGTTTTACTTTGGAGTCATGTAAATAATAAATCTAAGATGGTATGTCTCAACCAAAATCAAATTTCTTTAATTTACTGGTGAATATTATTTCGAGAAATATTCTTCAACATCAGTTTCAATTCTTGATATGGCAACTGCCACCATTGTTAATGGGAGTCACTGGACCTTAGTGTCCATAAAGCGTGTTATGGAGAGTTCTTGCTTTAATCTTTTCATGACAGACCATAATTTTTCCTCAAATCTAATACACAGTTTGTGATCGCCTAAGACAACAAGATCTTAGCACAGATGAAAGGTGACAAGAAGAAGCAGTACAAGCAACAGACAGTACGAGGTTACTTTATGCGCAAATATTTTGGATAGAAAAACAACGTACTTTTTAACATTACTACTATAACTATTTTATGTAAAACCTCGATCTAATACTTTGGTTCGTAGTTTTGTAACAACTTTAAATTGGGTCACAAATAACACAATTAAATACTTTATGGCATTGGGATTACACTATCACTACATAATATTCATAATTTGAATAGTTCGCATATGCCATAATAGTGTCATCCTGGACCGCACAGAAGAAATCTGGCATAGTCCATTTTTTTACTAAGTTTCGTTTTTTTTTATTTAATGGAATTGCAGCAAGAAAAACAGCTACGAGCAGAGATATAAGTTGTAGGTAACTATTTTTGTGATCATCTTTTAAAACCGTTAATTGTGATTGCATTCGGTTTAGGCGCATTTGTTGTAGTATTCGTTCCTCGTTACATTCAAGAAAACAAGTTTTTCAATTGTTTCTCGGAAACGTTGGCCTTGTAAGCCGCTATTGTATTCTTCCTACAAAAAACTCCAAGCGCTTAAAAGTAGTTAGTTATTTATGAAAAAAAGACGAAACTGTATTTTATATGCGAATACAGACAGGTTATTAATATTAAGGATATTCACCTAACAGAAAGACAGGGTTTACGTCATTAGTACAAAAAAGGCGACGAGTGATGTAGCCATCACTCGAAGCGGATCAGTACCTGCAAATAAATTATAACATCAGATGCCACCAGAATCTAATTTTGTTACTTTTATCATTTTCGGTGGATTCAAAACACTGCTTTAGCGTTTACATATCCTAAATAATTTAAATACATTTATATAAGAAATACTTTTATGAAGTTTACGTTTTGCTGAACGTAACTTAATCACTAGGTTATTAAAACATACCTTAGCAGTGAGTTTTCCATCTTCTCCAATGATGAACTCTTCAAGTCCAAAAACAAGGGGAGATGCATTCCCAAGGTGGAATATTCTGGACGAAGTTTGACGGGTTACTCTAAACTCAATGGTTTTCGCCATCAAGACACTTGTGATCATGTATACTGACTTCTTGCCTTTGAGATCTGCAAAAGAGGATTTAGTTTTAATACATTTATTTATGGATAACTTCTATTAAATTGGACAAAATTCATGATATAAATTACTTTCGCAATTTAACACGTCAAAAAAACTAATTCTTTTTAATAAGTATGATATTATACAAGGAAGTGGTCATCATCTAAAGATACCTCTAAAGACAGCAAGAAAGCAGGTTCTGTCAACAAAACGCTTTTAAGCCTAAAAATAATTTAAAAAATTGATAATACTGTTTAGGAATATTGTTTTAGAAACTTACACAATCAGCAAGAGGAAATGCAGCATTCGTCTAACAGAAATTTTATTACAGAATAAAATGAAATTTCGATTCGATTTCTAAATTTGGAAGTATACACTTCCATTCAATTGTCCACTTCTTTCGGCAATGGTATTTTAATAAAAAGCCCTACGAAAACTATTTTAAAGGTCACAAGAGTCGAAGATTCGACTATACATATAACTAGAGAATGATGAAACATTTACCTTTGTTGTTTTCCACGTCTAAGTATACGTTATTAATGAGATCTTTGTCTTCCGGAATAAAGTTCCTTGTGAAATTCACCATGATGACTCTTACTTTATTTTTAATAGATTCATCTTGCAGCGTGATCTGTAATTAAAATTAAAAGTCAGGGAGAGTATTTCTAAAGAAAAGTAGTCTAATTATATTAAAAATATAATATTAAGAAAGATCACGGCACGTTGTAAATTTTCCCTAATGCCCAAGAACATTCCAAGCATAACAATTAATATTTCAAATGTAGTGCTCTTAACATTATATTATATATATAGTGTGTATAATTTACATTTACGAATGTAATTGCTAAGTAAATAAAAAATAAATATTATTCATATCACACATATTCCGTTGAATTTGTTTTGTTTTATTTAAACAACTGCAGTAAGTATTAAAGTAGAATAAGAGAAATAATTCATGTTTTTAATTCAAACAGCACAAACTGATAAAATTCCCAAAAGTAAAAATGTAGAATATAAAAATCTAAATTAAACCCACTGGGGTTTGTACGAAAAAAAAATCACTTCTCTGGGTATCATCTTTAAGATGCAAAGAGAGGATCCTTTATTTTACTTAAAAGTGCTTAACAGAACAAATTAATAGGAATGTCGCTGTTAGTCTACAATAATTTGAATCATTCATCGTTGGAAATTTTCGCACACATTGTATTTATAACTCGCACTAAATGTTTCCAGCTCTCACTGCTGTTTAACTCATAGGAACGACAACATGTTATAACCGAACTACATTATACGTTTTTTTATCAGATCACTATAACACTGAATGACAGCTGTGCTGTGAAAAGCACTTAATTGTAGCATCGCATAATAGGGCACTGACCTCAATCCCACATCAGAATAACAGTTTAAAGTGGTCACGAAACCTCATCGATTTGAATATTAAACTTTATTTTGTAGTTAAAGCAAACTACCACTAATACTCCTACTACTACTACACTATTGGGGGAGGAAAATTCAAATTTCGAATGAAAAAGTAGGTTTCTCTTTTTTTAAATTAAGTAGTATTAAAATTTTTGCAATCATCGCTACTTCATCGTAGGTACACACATATCTGTGAAGATCCCCCGCGACAAGAATACTTCAAGAGGGACCTGTATTGACCCTCTTTTTAACTTATCTCTTCTGAGCTGCTCTAAGCGATACAACCCGCTTACTATAACGCATATTAACATTTTTCTGCCCTGTTATCAATTTTATGTGGGGTCAGCGAATTGTAACATAATTCCTGGTTTCTTAAATGACGGATCTTCATTGAGAATGTGCTTTCGTCCTGTTTTTGAGAGCGCTACTACGAGTAGAACAGGTACCTACTTACACGTAGAAAAAGTAATACAAAAGTAAAAATAATACGAATATAAAAGTAATACGAGTAATACAACATAAATTCATATCTCGTCAGTGGCACTCCCTCTTTGTAAACTCTGATTATGTTTAACTTCGTATCATATAAGATTACGCAGTTAGGAATGATAAACAATATATGTAATCAAAACAATAGTGGCGTAGATTTTGATATGTAAATACGTAAATATTACAATTATACATTGTAATACCAAACATCATTACAGACTGCACGGAATGGCGTAGTGGTTTAAGCGGTCGCCACGCCAAGTAGGAAACGTACTGCGCTGAGTGTTATGGGTTCGATCCACACATGGAACACTACTCTGTGTGATCCACAAATTGTCGTTCTATATTTATTGACATGACTTTTGAAAAAAAATAATTAAAAATATCTTTCATATTGTTTTAAGTCTACATAATACTGTTTTTAGTGTTCCGTACCTCAACAGGAAAAACGGAATCCTTATAAAATCAGTTTGGGAACGCGTGGTGGTATCGAGTTGAAATTCAAACCATATAGTCAGGAATAGAGTCCCTTGAGGCTGTGAAAAAATCAAACTTCTAAGTTAACGTAAAAAAAAGATACGGCCGTATGCCGCAAATAACGCATATTTCGAAACTCTCAAGGGAATCATAATTCATAGTTGACCACCACCCGTTGACCTAGAACTATGAAACATGACAAATAACATCGTCTTATACAAGAAGTTCAGGCAAAAATCTGAAAACTATACATTTGTAACATACTTACATGTGTACGTTAAACCATGAAAAATTAAGTCTTTATTTAAAGTACCTAATCAATAATTAAAGTACAATTTCACTTATAAAACACAATAATAAAAATAATTATAGGTTTTGGACACGGAATTTTGGGAAAACCTAAGAAAAAAACTGCGAGACTCGATCGATTCCTGAACTATTTCTAATATGCCAACAAATTTGTACCGAACCCACGGTGGGCGAGTCCGACTCGCACTTGTCCGGATTTTTTTTACTTACGTTTACGTTCCGTTTAATCCAATTGAAAAGAAAAATAAAATGTCCTGATATGTAGCAGACATATAAGAGGCAACTGAGATGTATAAAAAGTTATATGTATTACAATAAAGAAAAAAGGCACAGTTTAAAAAAGTATACTTTATTTGCCATGCCATTTATAAAGGATATACGGTTTTACACATGGATTAAGGGAATCCCCGACTAGTTTCTACCTATCAGGGACACTAAATTAGGTCCTGGTCTGAAGGTCATCGGAAACGAAACTAAGGGGACTTCCCCTAAATACACACCTTTTTTTTTCCGTGCGAAAATCCTCTCGGATACCACCTGTCGGTGGCATGTCGGACTCGAACCGACTAAAACCGCACGCCGTCTCGGGTACTAATAGCCGGGGAACCAGGTATACCCTAGAAAGGAAGTCCCTGGTGCATCCTAAATACACACCTGAGTAATATCTAGCCTTTATAAATGGTTTATTGATACCCAAGTGTCTTTATCAAAGTTTTAGAAGGCTATGTGATTATAATAATGAAGCATTTATGAAGTTTTTTAATCAGTTAATCATTTTAATCAAGTGCAATTGTATGGGCTCTGCTGCCCTTACTTATCTCGCGCACCGGTATTATCTGAATGCATTAGCCAGCACATGTACATGGCGCTATGCAAATTGATGATAACTCACATCGACCTTAGGTTTAATAATTGTGATATTATTAATTTGATTAAGTTGACAATTGATAGGCTTGCTGGTCTAGTGTTTAGTAACCCTCACATCTAAGCTAGAGCTTGTGGGCTCGATTCCTAAGTCCAGAACAAATTATTGTGTGATAAGCATGATCATTTGCTATTTGTTACTAAATTAACATGAGAGCCTACTAGTTCAGAGAACAATCTAGGTCTTGATTGAAATATAGCAAATCTAAAAATCACTTAGTCCAGTCAAATACTACGTTATCAGAATAGGAAACATAGTTTTGACAGGATTAAACTATTTTTTTATGATATTTAGTTTAGTTTAGTGAGTTTTCGAACAACAGAATTAGCACCAATATCTATTAATTAAAATTCAAAGGTTAATTATATAAATCAAGAATATGGTTTCTTACTGATTTTATACTAAACTGATAATCACAAGACCAGGATGTAGAGTTACTACAATAATGGAATATCCGTTTTGCCCCTCATTTCTCATCAATGCAACCACAATGTGCCACAACGAAGTTTGGCTGGGTACAGCCTAGTATATTAAAAAAATCATGTTTTTTTGTAAAAATGAGTTTGTTTGTTATGTTTTCATGCCTTAACCACTACACCGGTTTTATAAAATTCTTTAACCAATGGAAAGCTGCATTATCAGTAAGTAACATCAGATACAATTTTTTAATGCAATAACCGACATACATGATGATAGAGCTGATGGAAAGCTAGTATTACATAAAATTTACAGATTTCGAAACGAAGCATACCTGCAAGGAGACTAGCAATTAAGCTGGTAAAAGGTTCAACTCAGGCTTGAAAATTAGCATTCCAAGCAGGCACTAGTATATAAAAATTAATAATGTAATATTTTATTAGCAACACATAAACAGCTATTAGAATCTCAATATTATATTTTAACAAACACATAGTGTGTAGAATATGATTTAGGTATCAAAATATAATTTTAAATCATTTATTCAGGAAGGAGGGTTTATTAAATGATTTCTAATACTGACACAACATAGAACACAGCCATTAAATGGTTTTTGGATTTTTCACAAACTGATTTATTTCAATAATAAATATACTAATCATCTTAATTAAATTTATAATGTGCTATAAGTTAATTTTGTTACAATAGTGTAAATTACATGACATAAGTGATAAGTGAACAAGGTTTAATCCTTCTTATAGTATCAAGTACAAGTTGCAGAAATAAGTGCCAGTGACAGATATGCATGGTGATATGAAATTTCAGATTTTATTTTTAAATAAATATTGAGAAAGGTTGATGGTAATTGTTCAAATACAAACAGTTGTATTTATATGTATGTATAAATTTAATGAAATAGTTTCATGTTCTGCTTTATTTACCATTACCTTGGTTTGAATGAGAGTTATAAAATTTACACTACCATGACCATACTTATTGCTTGATAGTTGTGACACAATAGAAAAATTTATAAAAATTCATAACAGATACAAAAACTGCAGTTTGCAATCTCTATATTTATTATAGAATTTCAAACCTGTAAAATTAGTCTTAAATTTGAATTTTTAAATTTGCTATGACACAATATAAGTGTTAGTTGCTTTGGAGATGCAAATGAGTTTTTTTTTTGTAACATAACAAAACAGGAGTAGGTACTATTATCAAATGTTCCGTCTAAGTACCTTGAATAAGTCATGAAAAAGGGCGGGCGAAGGTCAAATCGAATGGGCTGCCATGAAAATAATCCATGCAGAAATTGTTTATATGTTTATCTACTCACTTTTACGCTCTCGTGTGGAAATTTGAATTCCTCGTCCCGAAATTTACCCTCTTGTAGCCATTCCACGTAACTTGCATCAGATTTGTCCTTATTCATATTCTTCACCAGTTCACCGAGTGGTGTAAACATTTTACCGTTGGTTTCCTTTTCATTTGGAACAAACAGGGAGGTAACTTTGTACAATTCCGCTTCAGTAATATGAGGGATACACACCAACTGACTACTGCCGATTTCGATCTCAATTTCATCCCTGATAAAAGGCCAGGCATCTTCTAATTTGAGTGACTGCAAAGACTCCAAGCTCACGTCTTTCCTAATTTCATGGGAGTATAGGGATTTTACAACTACTTTCAATTTCTTCGGCATTTTTAAAATTTAATCACTGTTCTCGCTATAATTTGATAACACGTACTCTCCGAGCAATTGTCAAAACACGACTAACTCGGTTAAAAAGAAGTTGTAGTTCTGCTTTAGAATCCCACTAGTAGTGCGTGCGCCGCATGCGGTGAGTCAGTCCGAGGGAGAAAGAGATATACAATCAATACACAAATAAATGCAATAGAAAGGGAATGCACTAACAGTAATACCATAAACTTCTCATATTTTCCCATTCTTTAATTTAAATTTTTAAATCGGTGTGAGATCGAAAAAAATGGAAATAAAGAAGGGTACTTTTCAGGTCATCGATTTCTTGAGTCTCAGGCGCCGGAGGTCGCAGAACGACCTCCGTCCTCCATAAGCGCAGGTCTGGGGGTGACAAGTGAGGCCATCTGTCACCCGAGCAGGAAGCAGGCCGGGGTGACGCCGAGCGCGTTATGAACCCCTTTAGGGGTATATATGTTCTGTGGTTATGAAGCGCGCGCGCCCTTCCGGGAGCACAGAGGGAACATGGGGGTTCCCACACAGGGGGGGTTGTCTACCAGCCGTAGATGGCCCGAGGTACGTCGGGGCACCAGGGATTTCCTTTCTAGGACACTGCATTACATGCCCAAATGGCCCTGGTAAATTTAGTTTGTTGTTGTAGTCTATGTGTAGTACACTACACATAGCCAGAAATGTACCTACCCAGTTTCGTAAAAAGACCTTAAAATATGTAATAAGTTCTTCTATTAAAAGGAGTAAGTTTTTGAAAGAAACACGACTTTACTCCTGTTGCGTATAAACTAATAGTTTATAACAAATAAATTACCCAGAAGTCCCACGATGAGGATCATGCGGCATCACAGACCTGAGTCACGGTGTAGTCACGCGTTTTCCACGCGACCATAGCTTGTTTGAAATCTCCTTGCACGCCGGATGCATGTGCCACGACGAAGCCAACTCATAGTTCTAACACGGTCGATTCCATGCCAATTTTTTAAACTGTTTATGACGCAACTTGAATGATTATTATTACTGGATTTTTTTCTAACTCAACAATAGCAATTTGATAAATTAGAAATTTGTCTTTGACTGTTGGGTTTTTGTTTCTTCTTTCTATATTACAAATATTATTCTTTCTATATAAAGCCTAAAACTATCCAAATATTTTATAAAAATGTTAAGTTTATTTTTGTACGCTTCAAAAATTAAAAGTTCTGCAGATTGAGCTCTTTTGACACGATATGCTACCCGCTTTGTAGATGGTTTTTATCTATCTTTCGCATCAGTTTTGTGCCTCATAAGTCATATGATCAATGCAATCACAAGGTGCCGTCCCCGCCATACTTCGCAATCGCACCGTACCACTATGAAGTATGGCGGGGACTAACAGGGTAGGTACAGCTAGTTCTCTATAAATACTACAGTATGTAACATAACGCTATGATCCCTAGCAGCGGAGCAGCGACCTTTATGATCACGATAACACTATTCCTCTCACCAAAACGAAGCTTTCATCAGCCCTTGATCAAGGGGAAGGGTTTTGGGGGCAAACCGAGGCAACCGGCCCCGGGCGGCACATTCAGAGGGTGACAAAATCAAATAAATCGCCTAGCATGCAACCTACGTAGAAAAAGTTGTTGGATACACGATATTAAACAGTGCAAATTTACATATTTTTTTATAAAACAGTGTTTTTAAGATTTCTCAAACGCTGGGGAGAGGGGTCGCCATTATTAAGTGGCTTTCATAAAATTAATGTTATTTTAAATAATAATATAGGTATTAAATGATAAGAAATCATTTAAATGAAGCACAAATCTTACTATTAAAAATACCATCCAATGTTTTTTTTCTTGTGTAATCTTTTATTTAAAAGGAGGCAGGGGGGTACATTTTGATAGAATAAACGAGCGACAGACATACTTGATGCCTGTGTATTATGGTAAATTTTTAATGGGCTGGAACAGCTTCTTGAAAAAAGATTAAATTTGATTGAAAATTTCAAGAGCAAAACTTGACAAAGCAAGCAAAGCGCACGCTTTGGAAGTTCGCAGTTGTTTAATATTATGTGCATTAATACAATTTTATCAAGTTGTTCACAGAAAGACTTCTTTGTTTTATTGTGGGTACTCGCAAACGGCACTTGTCGTTCTGTATCTATTCTGCTCTAAGTAGGTACGCCTCTTATATATATATATGACGAGTTTTATTATATTAAGTACTACCTTTGAAACTTCAGCATTCCCAAGTACTACCTTTGAAACTTCAGCATTCCCTAATATTTAATTGTACAGAAATTAAGATATTAGATACTCGTACATTACTAGTGTCCGAACGAAACAAGTTTTTCAGCCAAAACGAAACTCACACTATCATTTTAAAATTTCGACTGTATACTAAAATCTAGTATATTTTTTAGCCCTTAATCTGCTTATACCTACATACCACATAAAACCACTGTAATAAAGTAGACACACGGCATCAATTCTACATAAGAGAAGATGTATTTAGGTAGGTGGATAAAAAAAATGGGTAGCTAGCTCCTAAATACTAGAAATTCACCTGACTAAATTAACAAGGTACCTCACGTGATAGGCGGGAAAGGACGGGGCGAGGTGGCTGTCTAGGTAATTTGAACGGACTATACGCGTTTTTTCATACTTAAAGTTAAGCAACTGAAGATTACCTTTGCATAGAGCTAGCACCATCTGCAGATCCGTCAACGTTGTACAGGCTCAAATAACTTTGAAATGAAATTAAAAAGACCTTCGGAATTTTACAAACACCTAAGAGTTACCAAAATGCCTGTCTTGTCAAAATCACAAAACGAAATCGTTAGTTAGCTTCCAGAAGACAACAATTAATCAGAGCTCGAGTAACAGCTCAAATTACTGCTAACTAGAAGTATTGTGGATGGATAAAATGGTAAAATAGAGGTACAGAAGGTAATTCACCAATAATTAACAATCTAAATACAAATAAATCTTAGGGTTGTTTTACAAAATGATACTCAAAACTCCAGAAACGCATAAGGGTAGTTTTCGCCTTTATCAAACGCTCAAGCATTTCTTGAGTTTTAAGAAACGTTCTGTAATACGACTTAAGTAATGACTGAATTGAACATAATCTCTTTTATGTGTTACCTACTGATACATAAATAAAACTCAATAAAACGGAACTCTATACCTAATAATCACCTTTGAGATAAAACTGTTAGTTACAAGTAAATAGTAAATAAATACAAAATTATTTATGCGTAAAACAGCAGACAACACGAGTTAATCGTGGGAAAGCCATGACTCGGCACCTATAGAACAGGCTCAATCGGATTGATTCCACGGCCACAAAGAAAACCTGTGGTAAGCAGTTCCTACGTTGCTTTTCACCGAGTGAGAGAGGTAACCGGAGAAATGATATTTATTTCTGTAAGTAAATCTTTTCATATATTTTTACAAGTCAGAGCCTAAACCCTCCCCTTTCCTCTGATTCCATGGGCGGTGGTAGTTACTTACCATCATTCGACCTGTTTGAACGCTTGCCCCCGGTGACGACGGCGAACTGAACCAGAGCCGATGTCCACTAGTTGGCCGCGCAGTTAACCGGACGACGTACAACACTTTACAATCACTTTTCGCTTAAAACAATTTTGGCTTAAACCGAAACTAACCGAAATTAGATTTTTTGCGAAAACCGAACCTTCGGCCGCTCACTATACACTACATAAAAATAAATTTAATACCTACCCATATCAAGGTTTCATTGTACAATGATGACTCACAATATTTATACTCAAAGTGAGTAAAGTTAAAATTATCTCTTGTTACACATCTGTAAAATATTTAGATTTTCACTTTTTACATTAAAAAAGACATCATAATTTTTTTAGGGGAAGAAATAACAAAAAACAGATGAAGTTAAAAATTTAACTTATAATACCATTCATAAGCTTAAATATAAAACATTTCAGATCAAAATCAATACGTAAACATTTCCAGAGGGCAAATTGAATATTTTTTTCTATTTGAAAAATGACATGGAATGTGAAAATATTTTATGTTTAAATTAAAATTGCAAAGAAACAATTTGAAAAGTTTAAACATCAGTAATTAGATTGCTGCAAAATCCTAAAATACATATAAAATATATACTTTATAATGACATCACTATTATTATTTAAGATATTCAATATCAGTGCATTTACATATTATATTACTGACCATCTATTAATTAGGTGAACTGTTTTAGTTTTTTATTTCAACATTTCCTCATCTATTGAAAGTAGTACAATACACAGGTAGACTACATTTATTCAAATTGATGTAAGATTTTCAACTGGGCTCTTCTGCACTTGGAACTCACATAATTAATGGATGCTCCGCATTAGCATTGCTTCATAAGCCAGGTTCAATTATAACGAAAACCTGTGATCTCATAGCACATATATCATTTAAAAGCTGTGCATTTTGTGCCTATTAACATTCATTTTTTTAATTTTCTTCTTTTACATAAGAAGTTTCTCATACTACTGACTACCATTTATTATATATTATATTTAATTGTGCAATATTTTATTGAGAAGCAAAAGAGAAGGAATGAATAGCAACTTTTTTCATTTAAATGGTGATTAGTCAGTAGCTATGGGAAAGCTTATCGTTACATTATTTCTGTCAAAAATAATCATATGAGCTATTAGCTGGTGGGTACATATTTGTAATATCTTTTGTGACTCTTAGCCATAGTAAAATTGTTATAAGCAATTTTATTTATATTTGTTCAGTAAAGATTTTTTATTTTTTGTGTAAATTTGGTGTGGTTGATTGAAAAACTGACGATGCTGACATTAAGTTTTCTATATATTGCCCTAATACTTGGTTTTCTGAACGCAGCTTCAAGTTCTCCTCCTTTACTGAATCCACTCTTTGTGACAGATCTGTAAAATATACAAATTACATTTACAGATCAATATAATTATTATCACTGCTACTTTTTCAAAGCAACATAGTCAGTTTTGTGAGTAAGTAAAATTGGTAACTATCCACATAAACTTGTTTCTTAGTGTCTTACCATCCAAAGTGTTCTGCAATTCCAAGACTTGTGATATGAGTCTTGCTTTCTCTTCTTGTTCGTCAATCCCAGAATCTGGCTCAAAACTTGGCGGCCCATTGAGGCCAGGGCTTGAGGAACCACCAGTGTAGGAACTCGGCAATGAGTCCATTGAACGACCGTGATCCAAGTGATTGTTTTCTATTTCGTCATTAATGATCACTTGGGGATCATCGTCAGCTAAAGGAATATTGTCATCATTACACTTCTGCATGATCGAAGACAAGTTAGTTAAAACTGGTATTCTTATAAAATGATTTTATAATAGTACAAACACAAGAATGTCAATCGATTTTTCGTTCACGTTGACGTTTTAATAATGTTTATTTTGACATGAAAAATACGTTCATAAACTGCAACAGATTTTACAGACAGTAAAAATTACATTTAAAATCACTTTAGTCACTGGGTAATTTTGGTAAATAGTAAATATGAATAGGCTGAAAATTATTTAATCATTTTCTGCCAATTTGTACTTGATATCGGTAAGTTAGGAAGTTGTGGTATTGTTATGTGATACAACTATTATCATATTATGATTGTAATGATTTATTTAAAAAAAATATTTAGAAAACACAATTAATTAAAATATAAGATACTTTATAATTTGCATAGCGAAAACTAAACGAATTACTTTACCTAACTGTCAAAGTCACAGATTAAGAGATATGTACCTACATAGTCAAAGTGACTGTGTGTGCAAAGTGAAAATATGTGTTTATTATTTCTATAAAAGTGGCAAAATTTTAAGTAAACTCTCTTGATCCATCTATAGTTGATAGGTTAAAGAAGTTATTTTAAAATGGCTCTAGCCATAAGAAGATATAATGATATTCTCTGTGCAACAAAATGGTTTATTAGAAGAGGTTAGATTTTTTTTACTTTTAATTTATTTGCTTTGTATGTATGTATGGAGGCCGGTCTAACATAGACTTTCGAAATCGTTCTAGATTGCCGTGTCTTTTCAACATTACCAGAAACCGTAGAACAATATCCGAAACCCCAAGTTGTGAAGGAACAGAGGTCTTCAAGAATTAGGGCTAATGCAAGTAATCCTAAGTTGGCCTACCGACAAATTTACCCTGAATTCTTACCAGACCCTAACCCTAAATGGAGAAATAGTCTAAGAGAGAAACTTGAAAGGGCTGATATGCTAAAACGCCGTAGCCAGATTGATATACCAGAGTTCTATGTTGGTCAGTAGAAATTTGTAATTAGTTTTAACTACCTATTATGACGAATATCATCTAATTATGGCCATATCTAGAGTAAATCTACAATAATTTTATATAAATTTTTTGGTTTGTGTTGTGTTTGTGAAAAATCTCAAGGTTCATTCTGTTTTTGGAATTATTCTAGTCATATATTAGATGGTGTGTGCTTGATTCATTTTCATACAAATTATATATTTGCCAACTTTTGATTTTTTTTCTAAAAAACATTATTATATTAAAACAAACCTATTAGCGCCTTTGGAGAGCCAATTCTTATGGTGATTCTTAAGTGAACAACAACACCTAAATCTGTCAATACTGGCATGTTGAAATTTTAGGTTTAAATTTCTAATATTATACAATGTGTAAAATATTTCAGGTTCAATCTTAGCTGTGACTGTGGCGGATCCACATGCCCAAGGCAAGGTTACCAAATTTGTTGGCATTTGTATTGAAAGGAAAGGCTGCGGCCTGAGAGCAGAGTTTACACTCAGGAATGTTGTTGATCATCAGGGTGTTGAGGTAAAATTTATGTTTAGTATGTGTTGTTGTAACATCACTATAATACTTTAGTATTTAGTAGATTAATATGTCACATCACTAAGATGCATTGCACTATAAACATATTTCTATATATTATTATATTCATTGTTCTGCTGTCTCTAACACTGTGAGGTCGAAACCTGTCTCTAATATACTGATTACATCATAATATAATAGCCCCTTATACCAAAGTAAGAGATTACACAGGTTCATTTTCATGTTACATGATTTTAGTTACACTATGTCTCTTAATTCGGTGTGCCTTTTGGCATAGGCCTCCTCCAACGATTTCCATTGTTGTCTGTCCTGAGCAACCCTTCTTCACATTGGTCCCACTGTCAACCTGATCTCATCTTCCCATCTTATGTTTTGCCTTCCTCGGCTTCTGCGTCCATCCCTTGGGTACCATTCTTTAACAGCTTTGCTCCATTTCCCTTTATTTTCCCGCATCATGTTACCTACCCATCTCCATTTCTGCTGATCGATTCGATTCAATACGTCGGTGAGTTTAGTTTTTAGACGCAGGTCCATATTTCTCACTTTATCCTGTCGTTTACATCCTGTCATGCTCCTTTCCATTGCTCTTTGGGCTATGGCAAGCTTTTCCCTTAATATTTTAGTAAGGGCCCATGTTTCGCAGCCGTATGTTAAGCATGGTAGGATACATGAGTTGAAGGTCTTTCTCTTCAGTGACATGCTCAGGTCCTTTGACTTCATTATTTCCTTGAGCGACCAGTATTTCCTCGGTCTACTACCTCGGTTGGACTAAAATTGAACACTACTAAGACAAAATTAATGATGAACTCCCGAAAAACCAACATCAGCATTAATAACGAACTATTGGAGTATGTGGAAGATTATACTTATTTGGGTCAAGTCATCTCAACCAAAGATCAAATGACAAAAGAAATCAACTTCAGGATTGCTACTGGATGGAGGAAATACTGGTCAATTACATTATAATACTAGTCAAATCAAGAAGTTGTATTAATAACTATAATTATATACCATCCACTGTCGCATAAAAATATAACTTGTGTGTCTATGAACATTGTTCAAATACATACTTATAACTTCAGTCTATAGGGTGAGAACTACAAAGTGTTTTAATCACTTAAAGACATTGACAGGATCTAGATTTCTTAAAATTCCTACACATCATTACAGTCTCTTAACACCTTACTTAAGAAGACTATAAGAAAAGTTAATAGAATAATAATGCATAAAACATATATAATTATTAGGCATACAACACACCATCAAAATTGCTTTACATAGCTGATGCGCCTGAAGAAGGTAGAGCCTCTAATATGGTAACCAGACTGCTCATAAACATACTTACATATTTCTAAATACATACATCTAATAGATGAAATAAACCTGGACACGGAACAATTATCATGGTCACCACACAATTATTCGTCCTGGGTGGGCTTCGAACCCATGACCTCGGGCTTAGCAGTTAGTATCAACAACCACTGGCCCAACAGGCCAGTCAATTGTATAACAAAAAAAAAACCGGTCAGGAGTCAAATTCGTGCGCCGAGGGTTCCATACCTACCCAGATTTTACGTACATTTTCGCGAAAATTTGTAAGTACCAAAATTTATCTTAATTTTCAACTTTTGTTATTTTTTAGAATTATTCCTTTTTTTGTGCTGTAAGACGTTTCTTTTTGCCAAATTTCGTGATTCTAGGTCAACGGGAACTACCATATAGGTTTTCGACCCAAAACCTATAGGGTACTTCCGGTTGACCAAGAATTGTCAATTTTGACTAAAAGCACGGTCTTATAGCACAAGTTAAGAGAAAATTCTGAAAACTAAAAAAAATATGAAAATTAAGGTAAATACCAAAATTTACCTTCATTTTCATATTTTTTTTAGTTACAAGTTTTCCCGAAAATCTAAATTTGCCCATATAATAAAATAAAATAAAAAATAAAATATCTTTTTATCGTGTTGACTTGAGCTTGATTTTTATACACCTAATAGGGACCATAGACCTCAGTATCTGGTATAAATTTCAACTTGCTAGTTACTGAGAAAAAAAAAAGAAAGTGATGAAATTAAAAAATCCGGTTGATGGTCTTGTAACAATCTAAGCCTTAGCTAAATTCGTGTAGTGCATAATCAATTTTGAACTGTATTGCACAGAGTAGATATAATATTTGAACAGTTAGTTTTTTGTTTCAGGTAAGATATGACCTTTACGATCCAACAGTTCAGAAGATCCAGGTTCTCCGCCTTGAAAAGCGCCTTGATGACAAACTGTTTTACTTGAGAGATGCTCTACCTGAGTACAGCACATTCGCCTTTGATATGGATCCTGAAATATTGCCCGAAGGAACACCAGTACCAGTTAATGCAGTTCAGGTAATTGTCCTCTGACATAATCCTCATTTTAGGAAGCATGATTCTTTTGTCTGAACTCTATTCTTTATCCATTTTTTAAAAACTGATGTATCCCTTGAATAATATAATAAAAATTGCTTTCTTTTTAAACTAAACATAATTATCTAGAGAATGTCCATAAAATTTAAAAAAGAAACCAGACTGGTGGGTCTACTAAATGAATAAAAACACAACAGAAAATGAGAAACTTAATGTAAATGCTTTGCTTCGGTTTTTACTAAAAGCAATGTAAATTGCAGGTAATACTCAAACCAAGACCATGGTTGGAAAGATGGGAGAGACAAGAGTTAAAAGGAGTTGCTAACATTGAGGAACATCTGAAGGAAAAAGATAGAGTAAGAAGGGAGCTAAGAGCTACTCCTTGGGAGAAATACGACTTGATGAAAACATACAGGTAAGGAAACGATATGTCCAAAATGAGGTTCTTTTTTTTTTGGAGGAGGGGGCAGACGAGTAGACATATCACCTGATGGAAAGTGACTACGGCCACCCATGAACACCTGAAATTCTCCAACTTTTTTATTCAGTGGCGATCATTTGTAAGTTTTGTCGAAATTTAAATATTTATGTATTGTTAATTTAGGTGTGTATTCTTTAGGTTACTTTACTATGTATGATTATAATTTTGGATCTTCTGGAACTTGAAAACTTTAATAGTGAAAAAGGAGTGTGATCACATACATGGATATATGTTATGTTCAGTAGTAGAATAAATTTTATAGGTGTTTAGAGATGTTTTGAAAAACAGTAAGTATATACTGTAAAAGCTATGATTGAATTATAATTTTTGTTTGATTTTCTCTAATATTATATATTTGAGGTGGTTAGTAACAGGAATAGCTGTATATTATTAAAACAAAAATTTACTGCATGAGCAATTATAAAAAATGATTTTTTTTTTAGTAAATTGAATGAATTTGATATATTTTTACTTACTTACTTTGCTATATCCCTGTATCAACGCATATGCAAAATTTCATGCTTATCGGTTGAATAGTTAGTGGATGTGATGGTCAATTAATGTGTTGCAATCATTTACAGTCATTTCATAATTATCTAAATCCTGAAACTGCGTAGCGTACTGTCCATAAACCTCTCTGCTTCCAAAAAGGATAAACCCAGTATATACGTTTTATTTTTCGAATTCGTTTCTATTTAGTCCTGTTATTCTGATTTTGCATTTCTTGCAAAACGCTTGTAATCACTGCTCTTTCTTCAACAGTCCTATCCATTTCGAACTCTAAACTATACTGTGATTAAAAGAAATGTGAAAGGAATGCGACAGCATGCTGCAGCACGCTGTAGCACAGGCGGAACAAATGCGATTACATAATGCTAGACATGGTTCGACCCTAACCAACAAACTCACCCTAGTTTTTGTAATATTGTTCAGGATTTGTTTATTTTATATTTAACAATTTTCTTTTATTTTATAGGAAAACTATCCCAGTGGAAGACCAGAACAAAATTTGGGCTGAAGTCAATAGTCAGCTAGAACAACTCCAACTAACACGCAAGAAGATGTCAAGAAAACGCATTTTTAACACCCCTAAAGTACAACTGGGTTAATTTATTTAGTATTAATGTACTTTTAATATATCGTAGATAATAAAAAAAGTTAAATAATATTCTATGAGTATTTTATTTGGGAACAGTGGACAATAAGACATGGTATCAAAGTAGGAAAAAATATTGTTGGTAAAGATTCAGCATAGTGGCTTTTGGTTTACATAGTAAAAGCAGCTTGCCGCTCTAAAAGCATTTACATATTTATGTATATTATAATTTTTTATTTATTATAAAGTTTATTAAAAAAATATATTTATTTAACCGTTATAAGCTGTAATGCCAATATGGTTAGCCGTTTATTTAGTCACGCAATTACGGTTCAGAGCAGAAGACGAAAAAAAGCATGCATATATTTCGTATTTGTTTTAAAAATAAATATTTATTTGTAAAAGTATTTAAAATTAACTTAAAATACTAGACATTATTACAGAGAATATTATTAATATAGTCTTGTACAACATGTCACCTTAAATAAAATGCTTGAATTAAGTAATAAAGAATACATGTTAAGATATTACTGATGTAGTATCTTACAAACGCACCAAGAGAATTGCGAAAATTAAGTGGCAGTGGGTAGGGAACATTGCTCGCAAAAAAGACGATCGATGGGGCCAAAAAGATCTGTATTGGCGACCATGTATCGGAAGACGGAGCGTTGATAGGTTGCAAGGTGGTCCGACGACCTGCTGAAGGTTGTGGGCAACCGTTGTATGCGGGCAACACACGACCGGTTGAAGTGGAGAGCCGTAGGGGGTGCCTATATTCAGCAGTGGACATCTCTGCTGAAATGATGATGATGATTTTACAAAAATATATTTTTAGTATCACCTAATAGCACAAAGTGTAAACAAAACATTTTAAGTATTTGCTGTTTGTCTAGTTAAATTGACCCGATTGATCTTTGGCATTTATTTTGATCCTTATTGGAAAATAACTTGATTATAACTAATACACTGCTTGAGGACCTCATCCTTTGATCCAATTATCTTTGGATACTAATCTCTCCTTAAATATCCTCGTCTAGACATCAAAAGTAAATGCCAATATCAGGTACCTCCATTTGTACCAACAAATAGATCCGTTCAAGTCCGCAGTGAAAAAGAAAACTAAGTGCAAGACAGGTGTTTCCTGCATATTTACTAGAATAAGGTCTTTTAACTGGATGGTATTCCCGCGGTGATTCTAAAGCGCTGTGCAGTTAAGTTCTGTTTGTTTCTATGTCTATTTTAATATACGCCAGCCTATAATACATTTAAAAGTATGGATGTGAAAGTGAGTTTGTTTGTTACACTTTGACACCTAAACCACTATACCGATTTTAAAAAATTTCCACTAATGGAAAACTACAGTACCATTGAGTAACATAGGCTATAGGCATAGGCAATAGCTAGTATTTTAATATAGTCAGGTACCATCAGCCGGCGACATGCGTCGAGCTGCGGTCTGATAACCGGTTACCTAGTGATAAATAATATTAGCCAATTCTTTGTTGTATTCTATGAACATATTTTATTTTTAAATAAATGTTATTAGATTGTTCTAAAGTGATTCAACGTCAACGTTAGACAAATCTATTAAGGTGTTTGTGATGGTTTATAGCTTACACCTTTATTGTACATTTTGTGTCCAATAAATGAAAAAAAGATACATACACATATCGATGCATATATAAAATTGACATATAAATATTGACATTATTATTAATAAATATATGAAATATTGACCAAAGTTTTGCAAAAACTAAACGTACTAAGTTGTCTCTTGAACCTAATAGATGGCCACACAGAAATATCAGATACTTTATGAACAGAAAAAAAAAATGAGTTTAAATAAAAAAATTGTTGCCGAGAAATAAATGTTAGATTAATAAGGAATTCTACAATACATCTAAATACTTGCATCTAAAACATGCATTAAGTGCATTAAACTTGAACAGTCTAATGCACCCTCAAAGGTTGTATGCTCGTAGAACCTTGTTACCTACAATCAAAAGTAGCTCTTAAATTTTAAAGGGAAACGATCATTGTTGAATACATGAAACAAATATTGCCAGCTAGATTCAAGTTTGCTTGCGTGCGGCGCGGGCAGTCAGCTAAAGAATTTAGTTTTTTTGTGATTGAATGCAATTTTATTGCACTTTAAAACAATAAAATTGTCAATACAAGTTGATTAAATGAAATTTGTGTTGTTTATTGTGTTGAGTGAGGTGTTTTATTAGTTATTGTTAACATTTAATACTGTTGGTTACTCTTCTAAAATTGCATGTTGCACCTGTCGCGCCCGGTGAGTTATTGTTATTGTCATTATTTTTGCTAACATAAAGTAATAATAAATGAAGTATATCATATAAATGGTATGAATATACTCATGAATGATACCGTTATGTTTGTGCAAAATGAGACCGTGTCTTCAATATTCGTTTACGAAGTGTAAAGGTAATAAAATTGCAACTGCAGTCCACCTTGATTTATCGATTATGACGCATTGTCCACTACGAGTAGTCAAAATGTAATTAATGTACATTAAACACTTTTAAAATTTTTTGTTGACATAAATCAACAATATACTAAGTTGTAGTCAAGTAAAAAATATATCTTGATAAACAAATTATAATAAACTAGATTCATAATTCATATGATTTAATATTATCTTAGTTTTAATTGATACTTTGATTACTTACAGATATTAATAGATTTTTTGTTTTACTTTCTGACAAATTAACATAGAAAATGAACTTCTAAAATGAAGTATGACAAACAAATGATTACATTCAAAAATTATTTATGTATGATTTATTAAGTAAAACCTTTGCTTTTTATGCATCTACACTTATGTTACTGTTAATGTTTTTAATAGAAAACTACTACACATACTAATATTTTGCGTAGAGGTGTAGTATTAAAAAAGTTTTTAACAAAGTAGATAAAGTAAAGTAAAAGTACTATAATCTAAATATTGGTCTAAACATTTATTTCATTCTTTTAATTACCACCACCTTTAACAGACTGGAAGGTGCAATAACAAGACTATAATTATTTAAAGGCACATCTTAGAATCGGATTACTGTCTGTACTCCGGGGTCATTGCATAGATCTCATATTATCTTATTACCTTTTAGGAATGTCACTATGTCGTAATTGCCAGGTTGATATTAATATTTAGTAAAAACTTGTAATATAAATATGTATACCCTCCTCTTTCCACTCGATTGTACAACACTCACTATTTCACTTGTATACTGGTATCAGTCTCAGGTACGAGTAGCTGGGGAAACAAGTTTACCCTAAGGAAGGCAATCCCTAGTACCCTGACAGACCTTAGGCCGGTGGCTTGTATATGACCATCATGTGTGGGTACCACAATATTCCTATTCTTCTCTCTAGCTTCATAATAGCTAGAAAGGCATACCACATTAATGATGTCACTTGGAGTTGCAGTTTAAAGTGATGGTTAACTATAAAACTCAAATGTACTACATTTTGCATACATTTCTTTAGCAGGGCCGGATAAGCTATTGCGAGGCCTGTAGCAAATTCTATCAAGGGGCCCTTGGATTGTTTAAGGTTATCTAAGTAGTTTAAAGTTTTCATCATCATCATGCCAGCCTATGATAGTCCACTGCTGGACATAACCTGTTCTTAGAAAGGTGGTTTTGCTTGCTATACCACGCTGGCCAGATGGTTTGGCTGGTTGACTAGACATGCTGAAATGAAATTAAATGGGCCCTTTGAGATGACTCCCTTCTTAGGCTGGGCGTAATCTGTTACGCGGACATCACTTCCCTTACAGCCCGTCTGGTGAACTTTAAAGAGGCGGCGCGCCTGGCCATCAGGGGTGTTTCTTTGGTGATCGGGCTCATTGAGGCGCCCGACTTATCGGTGGCCCTAGATAAAACGGAGGCCTCTCATTTTATTGGCTCCGTCGTGGTCCACCCCCTGGAGCCTCAATCATGGTCAACTCGATCATCGTACCGGTTGTTCGGTGCTGCGTCCGCCCTTGCTTTGCTGACTTTTGCTCAATTTGGGAGGACCCAGTGTCGCGACAAGACGGCTGTACACGGGGATTGTCCGGTCAATTGCACTGTACGGTGCACCGGTGTGAACGGCGGCTCTGACCACCTAGAATAGGGCGCGCTTCTGCCGCCCTCAGAGGGTGTTGGCGGTTAGAGCCATACGTGGTTACCGATACCGATAGAGGCGGCGTGCGCGTTGGCCGGCACCCCCCGTGCTATTTGGAGGCAGAAGGTGTGGGGTCGCAGTGCAAAACATGTTTTTTTTTGCATCCAACGCGCACCTTTAGAAATGTACTTAAAGTTTAAATTTTAATTATAGTTGGACATTTAAATTTAGAGATTTTTTTTTAAATTATAGTTGGACATTTAAAATTAGAGAGTTTTTTTAAATTATAGTTGGACATTTTTGAGATTTTTTTGACTTTTTTACGGTCAGTAAGCGTGGGTGCGCGGGGCCTGTAGCATTTGCTACTCTTGTTACGTGGCTAATCCGCCACTGTTCTTTAGAAGAATAATATTTAGAGGGTTGTATCACTTTCTACATATTAATATTAATAAGCATTAAAGTTTAGAGAATTTGTTCTACTTCTCTTTGAAATTACAAATCCAGTTATATGAGAACATTTTTATTTAAAATAAATTGAAACAACTTATACTAAAGCGCCTTATACTAAAGAAAATAATAAAAAAACTCAAAACGATGCTAAATATATGGTATCAAATTAGTAATTCTTGGTTTCTGAACCTCAATATCTTTTCCTCTAGGAATCAGAATTTAATTTTGTCAGCGGCTCTTACCGTACAGCTTCGACGCCAAAGTTATCGGCTCGTACAACACCATAACGTTCAGATAAAGAGCACCAATAGCCGATTAGCTTTCTTAGCAAATGAAAAACGCCATGTTAAACTCGGAGCCCCTGACAAGCCTTCTTAGATTTAGCACCGACTCCTTTGTCATTTTAAAAATTTAAACGTTGAGCGTTAGAAT